GCCCTTTCAGACTGCCAGCTGATGATTGGCTCACAGCGGCCCCAGCAACATCTAGCTCATTGGCTCCTCTGCGGTGATGCTCACTGGGCTGTTTCCCTGCCCTTTCAGACCATGGAGCTGCTCATTGGGGGACTTCTTTGGCCCCGCCCACGCGACCCAGCCAATCGGCCTCAAGAGCAGGAAGATTGTGGGAGTGGGAGAGGCTTGTGTTTTTGTGGGAGAGGCTTGTGGGAAGCCGGTGGTGGCATTTGGGCTCTGAGGGTTTTTCCTGAGGAGCTATTTTGTTTGGCGTGTGTGGTTCTAAAAATAAAGTTCGTTTCTTTTGACAAGTGGCTCCTGAATCATGCCCAGCCAGACTGCGGCAGTAGATAAATCTAAGTTCAAGACAAATTGATTAGTGGCCTACATTATCAATATTTCCATCCAAATTATTTACTACACCCACACACACAAACCCACACTTAACCTAGCCAATAAATGTTTACAAGAATTAAAGTGGCCAGATAATTTTCCACTTTAATGTCTTTAAAAATTAAAGACTCAATTAGATTTACTGGTAACCATCTGGCCCTTCTGTGTGAAAGTACTTATAGACTGCCTAAATTGTTGAGGCTTATGGTGAAATTTTTATCACAATATAAATATGACTACAAAAGAGCAATTAGGAATTAATGTTACAAATATTTCTTCAAAGTACAGTTAAGATCTTAAGATCTTATGAACAAAAATGTAACTGTTTTAAAAAAAAGAGAATACACAGAATACAGGAAGGAAGGAAGGAAGGAAGGAAGGAAGGAAGGAAGGAAGGGAAAGGGAGATAGGTGGGGGAGAGAGAAAGGATTGATCAACAAAGGCTGAAATACAAAAGAAGAAATAGAATTAGGGTCAGTACAAATTAGCTGTACTTACCACATTTAATGTCCCTACAAAAAAAGTCAACTTGAAAGCCTTTTAAAAATGAGCTTAGCTGGGTGCAGTAGCATGCACCTATAATCTGAGCTATTCAGAGGCTGATGCAGGAGTATCACTTGAGCCCAGGAGTTCAAGGGCAGCCTGAACAAAAGCACCTCTGTCTTAACTCACTAATAAGCCATCAATAAAATAGTATCAATTTAGATTGTATAGTACATTCATTCAAAGTCTCCTTACACTCTTTAAATTGGACTGATTACTAAATCTCAGTTCCAGAGATAAAGTTACTCTGTAACACTGGCAATGAACTGACAGAAGGTAAAGACTAAATAGTACAGTAAATATACCTACCCTGAGACATTGACAAAAATCATTCCATTTTTGAAACTCATATAGTTTACCCCCAGTTTAACAAATTTGCCTTTAAAATAGCAAATAATTCATCACTAAAGCAATTGCATGAACATTAGGTTTAGATGAGTCAGTATAATAGGAGACCATAAATATTCTATAATACTATGACACCACACACATAAAATTTATATTTCTAATTTAAGAACAAACTTGACAAATATAAACTTTACAGTGGGCATACATTAGGTTGAGATTAATAACAGTGTACAGAATGCTATAAAACAAAATTGCCAAAATGATTTCTTCATTTTCGAGCTTTTGAAAAAAAAATAACCCACAAAATAGTCAAACAACTTGATAAAGGTCAACTGTAAGAACATCTCCTTTTCTACTAATACTTAACCTCTGCCTTCTGATTCAATTTTTCCCTGCTTTATGGAACACTCTCATAGTAGGTAACTTCTTCCCCATTCCTCAACCTTTATTCAGTTACTTACATCCTCTCATATTCTTTATCTTCATGCTGCAGATAAACAGACTCGCTTTGGTCCTTCACAGTCTTCTCTAAAGGAGTCAAAAGATCTTCTAGTTCCCTCTGCTGTGACAGGATAAAATCTAATTCTTGCTCCAATCTGAATAAAACAAGTCAATAGAAGAATCAATGAAAGGAACTTAGAATAACAAAATAAATATCAATAAACTACAACAAGGGGAAAATCTGAACAAAAAGATAGTTTTTTGTTCCTCAACCAAAGAAATGTAAGGTTCTACCTTTTCTGATCCAGTTTCACTTTTTCCACTTCTCCATGTAAAATAGAAATCTTTAAAGAGAAATAAGAAGAAAATAGAATATTTGAATTTACTCAATAACATCAGTGCAATATTAACTTTCTCATATACATTTTAAATATAAAACATTCCCTAATTCAGGGCACTTATTACCTAAGGAAAATATTTTTAAGCTGCTTGCCAACATTGCAACACAAAATTAACCATAAAACATAAATCTATTCTCTTGTGTTCGTCTGAAAAAATTTGCACAATGCAGGTAGATTAATGAGAATATCTTCTTACCTCCTCAGCATTCTCTATCAATGTGCAGTCCCAAGCATTGACTCGAGTGGCCTGACGAAGAAAATACTTTTCTTGATCCTCTAGCTCAAGACTCCACTTGTTTATCAGACCATCCAACTGACCATATGTCATCACTGGAGTTACTATTGAACTAAATAAATGAAAGAAAGCAGAATGATCATATTATCATATTTATGACCATATTTTAAAAACAGCACAAGAAGTCTAGAGAAGCAGTTAGCATGTGAGAACTTTCTCATACCTGCTCCCCAACAAAAAAACATAAAAGGTAAGGATGACTTAACAACAACCATTTGAAATCTCTGGAAATTATCCTAAGGGGATACAGCAAGATAAAGGTTTATTAAGAAATATGCAAAATCACAATAAGAAAAGTGAAAGTCTGTACCACAATGTGATCTCTCTTTCCTCATCCAGCTCAGCAAGATGAAGCTCCTTTCTGGGTGGGTGTGGCCAGGGAAATAGGACTCTTTCTCCCTAGCTCTTAGTCAAAGTAACCCATTCCATATCTTGAGTAGAATTCATGAAAGAATGTGTATCCATCCATACCAGATGGAACCATGACAAACTCCAACTCCCCTGCCAAGTGGTATCAAAAAGGCTGATTATCCAGCTGAGATCTTTGATCCACTGAGAAGAAATGCAAGGTCATGCTCTGATTCCTCTGCTGGGCTCAGTAAGAGGGTAACTGGCAAATCCCTGTCTGGCAAAAGCAGACAGACAGAGTCCCAATTTACCACCCACTTTTGGTGGGATCCAATATAGCAAGATAAATCTAAATCCCCACCCAGCAACAATAAGACTTTAATGTGGCATAGTGAGTAGGATTAGTCACTATTAGACTTTACCACTTGCTTTGGTGTCAGTGGGACATAGTAGGGAACCTAACATTTACATCTACCTGGCCTTATTAAGACTGAATAAGCTATGCAACTTGAGGATAGTAAGGGCTCCAATTTCTATCACCTGTGAGGTCAGCAAAGCTTAGGGGGAACTTGACCTCCACACCCTCTGGCAAAAGCAAGACTGAAAAAGGCAGGGCAAAGCCAAGCTAATCAGCAATCTGTCCCTTCTTCCATGAGACTTGTGTCAGCAGTACACACTAAGAGCCAAGTCTCCATGCCAACACAGCATCAATGATGTTGAATGAAGTGGTATGAGGCTGAGTAACTGGCATCCTTCTTCTTCCTTCCCCTTATGTCAGTGGGGTGCAATAAGAAGCTGAAATTCTGATTCCTCCTATATCAATTATGTAATATGAGTCAGTCTACTTCCCCTTGATCTGGGGGCTCCAGGACCCAGAGTTTACATCAGCAAGGAAGTGCTACAATGCAGATGCAGTACACCACTTTCATGGAGAATAAGTCAGTGGAGCTAAGGGAGGTGTTGAATTTCCACATCAACCATGTGCACTGAGGCACTGTAAGTGAGTCAGTGTTCCATTTCTGCTGAGGTGGTGTGAATAAGGTCCAATGAGAAGCTAAACAAAAAGCACACCCATTCTTTGCACTATATCTCAACAAAGGGACTACCTAATGAAAAAAGTAGATATAAACTGGGTGCAGTGGTGCACACCTGTAATCCCAGAGGCTTGGGAGGCTGAGGCAGGAGAATTACAAGTTCAAAGCCAACCTCAGCAACTTAGCGACAAGGCCCTAAGCAACTTAGTGACGAGGCCCTAAGCAACTTAGTGAGACCCTGTCTCACAATAAACAATAAAAAAGGGCTGGTGATGTAGCTCAGTGGTAAAGTACCCCTAAGTTCAACCCAAGTAGCAAAAAACAGAAAAGTAGATATAAGTAGGACACAATATATTATACAAAATGTCAAGGACATAATAAAAACTATGTTATATAACTATCCAGGAAAATCACAACTTGAAAGAGAAAAGACAACTCAGATGCCAACATTAAGATGTCTCAAATGTTGGAATTATATGAAAAAAATTAAAGTAACCATAAAAAAGCTTTGAACAGGGGCTGGGGTTGTGTCTCAGCAGTACAGCGCTCGCCTGGCATACGCAAGGCCCTGATTTTGATCCTCAGCACCACATATGATTTTTTATATATATAGTTTAAAAAAGAACTAGCAATTTCAAATTTGAACTAGCAATTTCAAATTTTCTTGAAACAAATTAAAAAACAGCAAAGAAATACAAGTTATTTTAAAAAATGGAAAATACAGAACTGGAAATAAAACAACTGAAATGACAAGCTCATTTTAAGAGTTTGATATTAGTAGAGTTGACAGAGGATACAATCACTGAACTTGTGGACAGGTAATTAGAATTTATAAAACAACAAAGAGAACATAGGCAAGAAAAAGTGGGGTGGGGGGAGTCTCAAGGGCTGGAAGTAACAGTCATATATTAAAAATTCCAGAAAAAGAAGGCGGCGAGAACAGAACTAAAACTGTATTCAGGAAAAAACAGGCTGAAAAGTCCCCCAGATTTGGCAAAAGATACAAATGCACAGATTCAAGTTGAATGAACCCCAAACAGAAAAACTCAAACAAATCCATGCTAAGACACAAAGTAATTACGTTTCTGAAAACTAAAGACAAAGGAAAAAAATCTTGGAAGCAACAGGAATGGAAAAAAATGCATTACTTGGAAGGGAACAATCTGAGTGATAGCTGATCTCTTGTCTAAAACTATGGAGGCTAGAGGTAAGTAGCATATTTTTCAAGCACCAAAAGATTAAAAAAAAAAATGTGTTGACTAATGATTTCCATATCTACTGAAAATGTCCTTTGGAAATTAAGAGAAAATAAAGATATTTTCATACAAAGTAAAATTAATTTGTTACTAATAAACTGACCCTTGAAGATTAGCTAAACTGAATGGAAATAAAAACAGAAGACTTGGAACATCATATAAAAGAAAGAAGCTCATCAAAATAAGTAAAAAGAACAGTAAATATACTATTCTATTTCTATTACTATACTATATAATATTTCTATTACCATACTATTTCTATTACAGTAAATATACTATTCTATTTCTATTGAGGTTCTTCGTGATATTTCATGAGTCAAATAAAAATATAACCCCATGCGTTATTATACTCTGTGTACACAGAAGAAATACTTGAGACAACTACATATAAAAGGTAAGGAGGGTAAAAGGAACTAAATAGAAGTAAGGTTTTTATATTTCAACCAGAGTGGTAAAATTATAGTGTCACTAGATTATTATAAGTTAACCCATGTACAGAAGCATTGAGTAAAAAAATTATATATACATATATTATATTATATAAAAATTATATAATGCAATATATTAAAAAACACTATAAATAGAACAAGGTAGAACCACCACAATATTCAAACAACCCAAAAGGTTGGGGACTTTTCAAATTTTACTTTCCTGAATATGCTTTTAGTCCTGTTCTCTCTTCCTCTTTTACTGGAATTTTTTTTCCGAAATATTTTTTTTTAGTTGTAATGGATACAATATCTTTATTTATTTTTATGTGGTGCTGAGGCTGGAACCCAGTGCCTCACACGTGTGAGACAGGAGCTTTACCACTGAGCTACATACAGCCCAGTCCCTTTTCCTGGAATTTTTTTTTTTTTTTTTTTTTTTGGATACTAGGGATTGAACTCAGGGGCACTCAACCACAGAGCCATATTCCCCAGCCCTATTTTGTATTTTATTTAGAGACAGGGTCTCATTGAGTTGCTTAGCACCTTGCCGTTGCTGAGACTGGCTTTTTAACTCATGATCCATCCTCATGCCTCAGCTTCCTAAGCATTGGGATTACAGGCATGCACCACAGTACCCAGCTAACTTTTAATATACAAATATTACCTGTTTTATTATTATCATTCTCCAGGTTTTAAAAAAAGAAAATCAAAAGAATAAAAATCAAAAGTAATAAAGAATAAAACATCAGACTTAAACCCAACTTATCAATGATTACTTTAAATGTCAATGTGCTAAATATACCAATTTAAAGGCAGATTGGCAGAGTAGATTTAAAAAAAAATCTAGCTGCAATGGCACCTGCCTGTTATCCCAGTGACTTGGGAGACTGAGAAAAGAGGATTGCTAATTCAAGGCTAGCCTCAACAAATTAGTGAGAACCTGTCTCAAAATAAATAAATAAATATAAATATATATATATATATATAAAAGCAGGGCTGGGGATGTGGTTCAGTGGTAAAGCACCCTTGTGTTAGATGCCCAGTATAATACAAACAACAACAAAAAAATCCAACAACATACTATCCACAAGAAGCTCACCTCAAAGACAAGGACAGACAGGTTGAAAGTAGAAGAATGGGAAAAGATGTGAGATTAATTTTTAAAAATAAATGAGGAGAAACTTTGAGAACTAGAGCTAGACAAAGTGTTTTCTTATAATTGATACTAAAAGCACATATCTGCCAAAGGACTGGTATCTAGAATACATAACAACTTCTCAAAACTGAACAATAAAAAACCAAATAACAAAAGTAGAAAATGTACAAAGATATGAATAGACACTTCACCAAAGTGGACATAACAATAGAAAACATATACTTAAAGAAATGATCGACATCTTTAGTGATCAGGGAAATATTAATTCAAACTACAATAAGGTATCACATCACATTTATCAGAAGGGCTGAAATAAAAAATAGTGACAACAAACCCTGACAAGAATATGTAAAATCTCTATCACTCATACATTGCTGTAAGTATGTAGAATAACACAGCCACTCTGAAAAAGAGATTGCTAGTTAAAAAATTAACATAAAAACTTTCAAACCACCCAGAATCAGCATTCCCAGGCATTCATCTCAGAGACATGAGGTATATGTTCACAAAATGACTTGTACATGAATGTTTTTACCAGCTATGCTCATAGTAGCCAAAAATACTGAAACAACCTAGATATCCATCAACAGGTGAAAGAATGTTTAAATAATGATATACAACAATGCCATAGAGTACCACTCAGAAATAAAAAAGAACAAATGATTGATTGATGCACCTGAAAACTTGGCAGGGGTGTCAAGGATTTACACTGAATGAAAAGAGCCAATCAACAATGTGTAACATTGTTGAAATATCCTGATAACAGCAATGAAGATCACATTAATTGTTGCCCAGGGTAAGGGAAAGGAGAGGGGTAGTGAATGTGGCTATAAAAGGGTGACAGGAGGAATCCTTGTAGTGAAGGACCCATTTCATATCCTGACTACATCAATATCAATATCCTGGTTATGACATTTATACTATAGTATTTACAAGATGTTATTGTTGGGGGAAGAAACAGGGAGATACAGGATATTTTGTAAAGTATGTAGGAATACAGGCTCTAGAGTTTGTCTGAATTTTAATCCTGGCTCAACTGTTACCTAGTACCTGACTATAAGCAGATTATAAAATCTTTATGTGCTCCAGTTTTCTCATCCATAAAATGGGAACAAAAATAGTGTATATCTCATAGGTTATTGTGAGGATTAAATCATATGATATTTTTAAAGTACTGTTATCTTACTAAACAGAGTAACTGCATAATAAAAGTTGCTATTATTAGTAATATTAATATTAATATTATAATGGTATTTAGAAGGCCCTTGATTATTCAACTTCCTAAATTACAGAAATTGTTCTGTGTTTCAAAAACTCATAAAAAAAAACTTTCTAGTATTTTCTAAGGCTATACAAGCAAACTATGCCTTGTACATGATAAAATGAAACACAAAAGGAATTTTCAAATAAATAAGCTTACTTGACAGTTGAAGTAAGAGGTACAGAAGAAACACTGACTGGATCAGTGTTATTAATCCCAGGGGATGTCAGTGGTCTTAGATTCAGGTTAAAGCCACTAGTAATTGTGGTAGTAGTATTGGTGGTAACAGTGGTGGTGGTAGTTGTTGAAGTTGTAGCTGGAAAACAAAATATACAATGTTAGTAAGAAATGAGAACTTGTTTCACTTAAGCCTTGATCATTCAAGGTTAAAAACCAGAAAGTCATTTGTTAAGACATTAATTTGAACTCAAATCTGTGGATTTTAACTCAATTCTGTTATAATATAAGTGATATATGACAGGCCAGGTATCTGGATTAACCTTACTGATGAAAACTAAAACTCCTACATAAATTCATTGGAAAAAAACCCATATCTTAGCTAGCCCCATAATAATTAAAGAAACTAAAGAAATCCTCAACACTCTTCCACAGAAAAACTCTAGATCTTGATGACCTCACTAGTAAGTTTTACTAAACTTTCAAGGAAAGGATAATAACAATTTATGCAAAATCTCTGTACATTTTTGCATACTTATGACTATCTGTGTATTTAACTTCTACAAATGAAATTGCTAGATGAAAGGGTAAGAATGCTCTAAATTTTAATATATAACGTGAAACTGCCCTACCAAGTTGACTTTGCCAATATACATTCCTATCAACAGGGGAAAGTGACTATTTCTCTATATCATACCTAAAATAGGCATACATCTTTGCAAACCCAATAGGGAAAGTCTATTAAAGTTTTATCTATAGGCCACACCTCTTTTGTACATCTTTTTCCATTGCATCCCTACAGAACACCTTGCCATCTAATAGATGAAATCCTAAGTATACTTCATAGCCTAGCTTAACTTCTTTGTTCCCCATGTTTATCACCCACTTCTCACCTATTCATAGTTTTGTATTGGTTTTCTGAACTTTGACAGCACTTTTGATTCTTACTATACATTGAGAACTTAAAGAATAATGTACAGAAATTGTGGCTGCTGGGGACTGGCAATGTTTTGTTTTCTTCATATTTTCAAAATGTTCCTATAATTAAATACTACTTCTATAATATGAAATTTGTTATAAAAATATAACATGTGTGCAATTATTTGTTTTATATTACCCATGCTTTCTCAATTACTAATGCTTTTATGTTAATGGCTACATTAGATAATTATGGAAATGATGATGCATGACACATGCACTATTTTAAGAGAGTCTGGCCTCCCCAGTTCTTGCTAAGGGAATAGGTTCTGTCTTTTGTTCCTGGTTCGCATTGGGCCAGGGATGGGCATACATAGTACAGGAAGCCATCCCATATGCTACTACCTTTGGAAGGGTATAGCACAAAAAAGCTCTCATCAAACAGGGATAAAATGGGATAGAATCTCTGTTTTAAAAATTATGGGAGAATCTGATTCTAGGTAGAAACATGGAAAAAGTTTCAGAAACAAGAATCAGAAACTGAAAAATATTTCCTAAAATGTAGAAGGAAGTTGTGGGTAGAGGGAGTTAAAAAGACAAAGATATGAGACAGTAATAAGAGACAGTAAGTAAATAATAAATTAGAAATAAGGTAAAATAGGAAGGCAGCAAAATAGATAATGAAACCAATGGGAAGTTTAAAAAGAGAAAAAGCAGATAAATGAAAAACAACTGAACTACATTTTAACAAGATTTTATTTAGGCAGTCCCTAAAGCTGCCTTATGCACAATTCCTGAGAATTTTCTTGAAGTAACAGTGCCACACCAATGTCTGTACTAGATTTTCATAAAATTCAATTTCTCTTTTGACACAAGGATTCTTACAACAATTCCCGTTCTCTGTGTTAGCCCTTGTGAGGGTAAAATTAACACTGCAGAGGAAAACCATGCCCAATCACAAAATATCTCTGGCATCACTATCAATGAGAACACTGGAAAGATTACATATTGGATCTTGGATGGCATTCTTTTTTAAATATTTATTTTTTAGTTGCAATTGGACACAATACCTTTACTTCACTTATTTATTTTTATTTTTATGTGGTGCTGAAGATCAAACTCAGGGTCTTGCACATGCAAGGCGAGCACTCTATGGCTGAGCCTGAGCCTGAGCCCCAGCCCCAGCCCCTGGGGTGGCATTCTTTACAGCCAAATGTGATCATTTTCTTCATTTGAGAATAAAAATATTATTGAAAGAAAATCCTTCCCCCAGAAAAGCTGAAAATTAATGATACTATTAAAAGATACACTTTATCAATTAATTCACTCGAAAATAGTAACTATTAGATTCGAAAGAAAGAAAAAAAATGTAAAAGAGTTCTTCATGTAAAGGAAAATATATTCATCCAAAAAGGATTGTTTAATAATCTGTATTTCCTGAGATGAATAGATGCACAAAGATGTATACTTAGGAGAAAACAGCAAGTTCTTTGTAAATTGTATGCAATGATTCTGTTTTTGTAAAACAGATTTAATGTATGTTTATATGCTTTAAAAAAAAGGTCTGGAAAGATAAACAAACTGTTCTCTCCAGCAGGAGTCATACATGTATTTATGAGTTTTTTTTTAAATAAAAAAGCAACTAGCATCACCACAGGAAAAGAAACAGCTAAATAGACAACACAAAATACCTCCCCCAAAGATGCTGAATGATATCTTCAGGAAATTAATACTTGTCAGCCTAAACATAAAGGAATCTGAGTCTTATAAAAATGGTATAATTATTTTGACCTTTGTGTATAGTACACCTTTTGTTCTTCATCTTTCATGTTATTTTAAAGGCATAAATTAGGTCTTACATATTAAAATAACAATAATATTTCGATTAATATCAAAAGAAGCAATGGAAAACGTGAAATGGAAAGAGTGAAGGTTTTATCACAGTCTGATTTTGCAAGTTATAATCTTGTTCTAAACCATTTAATATAGTCAATTTTATATTATCTATGTAATCAAGGGGAAGTACAATTCTGTAGATTATAAAAAATAAATGCATACCAAATTTGGAATTAACATTTTAATAAATTTCATTCTAATGATCTTAAAATCATTATATAAATTATATAAAATAGTAAAAAAAAATCCTTTAAAAGATCCTATTATTCAATTTTCCTATCCTGTACCTAACAAACAATTTTACTCCATGCTGGGATTAGACATTATCACCTTCTCAAACTCATAGGAAAAATAAGATTGATTTTTTTGAAAAGAGCAAGCTTCTCTTAAAACTTGATGATTATACCTGGGACAGAGAGTAATCCCAAAGACCTGTAAGTCTGCAAAACAGGCACTTGAAAGCTGATAAGCAATGCTAGCAAGAGGGATGAATATACAGAATTATAGTCAATCAAAGGAAAATCCAATTCAACTTAAAAACTAGAAATAAATCAAAATGACAAGAAAAAATCATCTCTCAATAATAACAATCAAAAGACATAGGCTGAGGCTGGGACTGTAGGTCAGTGGCAGAGCACTTGCCTGGCATGTGTGAGGCACTGGGTTCCATCCTCAGCACCACATAAAAATAAATAAATAAAATACAGGCGTTCTGTCCATCTACAACTCCAAAAAAATTTTTTTTAAAGACATAGGCTGGCAAATTGGATTAAAAAACAAGACCCAACAATATGCTGTCTCCATGAAACTCACCTCATGGGCAAAGACATCCACAGACTGAAATTTAAAGGATGGGGAAAAAACATCACTCACATGGATCATGTAAACAAGCAGGGGTTTCTAGTCTCATAACAGATAAAGTGGACTTCAAGCCAAAGTTAATCAGAAGGGATCAAGAAGGGAAGTCATACAATGACAAGAAATAACAACTGCAAATATTTATGCCCCCCAAAAAGAACACCTATGTACATCAAACAAACCCTTCTCAATATCAAGAATCAAATAGAGCAAAACATTATAATACTGGGTGACTTTAACATGGCTCTCTCATCACTAGATAGATCTTCCAAACTAAAGAAACCATAGAACTAAAAATTACAATTAATAATTTAGACTTAACAGGAATATATAGCATTATTTATCCATCAATGACTGAATACACTTTCTTCTCAGCAGCACATGGAACATTTTCTAAAACAGAACATGTCTTGGGCCATAAAGCAAGAGTTAATACTCTGTATTCTACCAGATCATAATGTGATAAAATTAAAAATCAACAATAAGATAAAAAACAGAAATTGCTCTAAGCTGGATACTAAATGATTCACTATTAAATGATGAATGGATAGGAGAAGAAATCAGGGTGAAATGAAAAAATGCTTAGAAGTTAATGAGGACAGGGTATACAACATAGAAATATCTATGGGACACTATGAAGGTGGTTCTAAGAGGAAAGTTCATCATTAAGCTCATACATTAAAAGAACAAAAAGGTACCAATTAAATAATCTACCATTATATCCCAAGACCCTAGAAAAAGAGAAAAATAATTCAACACCAAAATCAATAGAAGATAGGAAATAATTAAAATCAGAGCCGAAATCAATGAAATTGAGATTTTAAAACAATGAAAAAAAAAATCGATGAAACAAGTTAGTTATTTGAAAAAAAATAAACAAAATTGATAAACCCTTAGCCAAGCTAACCAAGAGAAAAACTCAAATTATTAAAATTTGTGATGAAAAAGGAAATATCACCACAAACACTATTGAAATAGGATAATCAGAAATATTTTGAAAATTTATACTCCAATAAGCTAGAAAATCTTAAAGACACTGACAAATTCCTAGAGATATATGACACACCCAAATTGAATCAGGAGGATATAGAAAATTTAAACAGACCAATTTCAAGTAAGAAAATTGAAGAAGCCATCAAAAGCCTACCAACAATGAAAAGCCCAGGATGGATTCTCAGTAGAGATCTGCCAGACCTTTAAAGAAGAACTAATACCAATCCTCTTCAAATTATTCCATAAAATAGAAAAGTAAGGAACTCTTCCAAGCATAATCTATGAAGCTAGTATTACCCTGATACCAAAACTGGACAAGGACTCATCAAGGAAATAAAACTTCAGTCCAACATCCCAGATAAACACAGATACAAAAATTCTTAATACTGGCGAATCACATACAAAAACACATTAAAAAAATAGCGTATCATGATCACATGGGTTTCATCCCAAGGATGCAAGGCTAGTTGAACA